AAGAGAGATTGAAACAGTTTATCACATAAGCATCTTAGCCACATGGTAAGCATGCTGCATGATATCATACACACGCATGCGATATGCTAAAGTATGAAAATACTTACATCGTACCTCCGTGCAACAACAATAAAAACAAATTAGGCCCAATGTGCATAGGTCCTAGTTCATGTCAATTACTAATGCAACACACTACAGGGTGCAAATTTGAGCAGGTGGCTACATGACTGTGACAATTGGCAATCATAGTTGATTGCACGTATTCATTTGAGATTGAAGTACAAATGCAGTTAGCATTGATGTACGAGCCCAGTGTGCATGCAGATACTGATGAATGATGCCACGCACGCATAGCATAAGGTATGCTAAATTAATAAACATGACCTATTACTAACCACTCATAAACAGTAAGTCAAAAGCGGAGAAGAACGTGGGGTTTTGGAACAGACATGCAACACACTCACCCACACCTTACTTACAAATTTACCCTCCACCTCGGAGGGACCAAAAGAATATACAATAACTTATACAGACACTAATTAATTAAAAATTAACTAAACCTATAGGAAAGCAGTAAAGGCCTCGGGAAAGGATCTCCAATGCGCGCGTGCTCGGGTTTGCTCGGAAATCAATGCCATGACAAGTTTTGCCCTCTGTTTTCGCCGCTCTGCTCCTCTGAAAATTGGGTACAAGTCCAGGATATGCTCCTCTGCACACTGTGCGAACACCCATACCGTGGCTGAGGGGAATGGCCCACCGGCAACGGGAAATGATCACCCGGCCACAAAATTGATCATCGCCAACACTATTTGCCGGTCGCACTAAAACACTGCCCGGTCGCGAATAAAGTTCTCGTCAGAAACCTGTTTTGACAGCCAGCCAGAGGGCAAAACAAGGCATGGCAAGGCATTCTCTCAAAGAAATATGTGCACACCACAATCCCTTATCACATATTTATGACCTCTAAAGGGGGATGGTACTCCCGATTCTCGGACCACTGCAAATCGCGCATTCAAATGCGTGATGGCCCAAGAAACCAAGTGTGCATTTTCAATGTGGAATGAAATGCACATGAACAAACAATGAGCTCAACCTCTATCATATCTCAAGTCAAGAGGCCAAGCATACATGCCAATGCAATGCATCCTAGGCATGTGAGCTAGTATGCAACATGACAAATCGCAAACAAAGCAAGCAATGAACAAGCATGCAAGCTAGTGGACATGCAAGACATGATACAATCAAGCATGCAAAGTGCTAAGCATGTAACAACAATGTAAAGAGTGGGCTTAAACTAATTTGGGCAGCCCTATACTAGGCCCAAAACAGTGGCCATAATGATGCAAGTGAAGGCAACAAAATACATGGATACATGCACAATGCATTAACCAAGCTTAGGCAAAAATGCAACTCTACCAAAGCATGGCAAAGAGGGAATAATGGCATACGATGGTGCATGTTCCAGATCTGAAATGGCTGCAAGCCATGCTCCAAAAATGACTCAAAAGCATGCAAACAACTCATGTAATGCATTGTTAAGACTCAAGCTTAAAACTAGTGAAATGCAATACACTATAAAACATGCAAAGCGATGCTCGAATGATGAGACCAGCCCCGAACAGTCCCTATGCCAGCCCAAAATAATGCTAAAACATGTATGAAATGTAGCCAAAATAATCTAGCATGCTTGGCCAAAAACAACATACAACATAGCTAGCAAACATGGTTTACATGGACAGTGTGTGAGCATATGGAATCTCACCAAACCACCAAAATCAGTGAATAAAACATATGAAAATAGGCCCAAATAACCACTGGATATGCAACCATGGCATGCAAAAATGATGAAGTTACTTAGAGGGTCATGCAAGGAGTTATTAAGCAACATGCAAGATAGACATTTAGCAAGATCAAATCAACTCTGAAAATGAGTTCTAAGGTCCTAACCACTGAAAAAATGCCTGAACTGGCCAAAGAGTGTGCAAACATAGGCCCCTTTGTAAGGCCAAAAATGCAAGTAATGAAGACAATAAGGAGAGGGGATGGCTCCTCTCCTTCTTAGAACCTTAAACCACCATCCTCACACTGAAATCCCTCAAGATTTCAGTGGTGAGGAGGCCCAAACAAGGTGGTCCCAAAACTCACCAAAAATATGAACTTGTGATCATTTTATTAACCAAGCACTATGTTTTGGTCTTTTCAAAATTTGAAAAGATATTATTAAATTTTGACTACTTTGTTTTACAACCATTTATAATTCACTGAAATTATCGATTCCATGTGGGTCTATTATTTGCTAAAACTTTTTTGACTTTTTGGTAGGCCTCGTTTGGGAACAGGCTAATTTAGTAACTTTTTGGCTAATTGGCTAAAAAGGTAGGTAAAAAAAACTTGTATGTTTGGGATGACTTTTTGACTAATTACGAAAAGCTGTGCAAAAAGTAGAGAGAAGCCGTAATTGTTGACTTTTTGGTATGACTAATTGGCTAATTGGCTAATTTAGTAACTTTTTGGCTTTTTGACTAAAACAGAGCCTTCCCAAACGAGGCCTTAATATGATATGTACCTTAAAGCCGCCAGTAATATTAATACATTGTTTTTTTTAATTACCAAGAAAATCAAGAAGGATTATTTTTAATGTTTAGTTGAACTGTTCTCCTGGAGCACTACTAGGTAAGCAATCAGAGACGTTGAACCCATCTTAAATGGAAAATTGTGTCATGGTAGGTGATTCATTTAAGTTGTCTACCAGTATTTTTTTTTACAATATCCGCGAACTTATGGTAAATGCATTTTAACAAGGCAGACGAATCTGTCATCATATATATATATATATATTTTTTTACAACTCGATATCTACCCACTAGAGGGATTCATTTGAAAATCAATCCCACCGTTCAGTAGTGGGCTCCAATTAAAGTTATAACAAAATGTCGCATAAATTAGTCTCATTAAATTATTTAAACCTAAAAAATTTTGAATTTGAAACTATGGAGGAAGCACATCCTCAAGCCTCGAGCACCATGCCAATGACTTGGGTTATGTGTCATCACATAATACGTAGGTTTGGACTAGAATGCAATATACACCACTTCAAAAGTTACATACTCTGTGCACCATTACTTTAAACGTTGGATCTTTTTTAAAAAACTAATAATAAAAAATAAAAATAAAGTTATTGATTTGATTTATAATCAAAATCAATGTGGGTCATAAATGATTATAACCAAAAATCATTATAAGTTACAATCAAACACCACTAAATTCAAAATCTAATCTATTTTGATTTAATATTTAAGTGGCCTCATAATCTCATCAAACCATAATCTGGTTTAACAGAACACCACTAAAATCAAAACTACAGATCACAATAGATATAATTGGAATTTGGGTGTATGATGCATACTAAAAAAGGAATGCCACTCTCTTGATTTTTATGTGTAGTCTAGTTCTAAATTACATACCCTCAAATGTAATGATGTACAAATATAAAAGTTAACCAAATTAAAGAAGAAGAAAAAAAGAGAGATTAACAAAGTGATTTATTATTTCAAAAGTTATATGATCACATCATTTTCGTTAATTTTTTTTATATGATTACAAACTATTTTTCAAGATTTATTTTTGTGCCCAAGTAGGGGCATTAGAGCATCTCCAACGGTAGTAGGTATTTTGCATCTCCAATGCACTAGGCATATAATACTTGTTAGTTAAAATACCGAGTATGATTCATTTTTTTCAATTCCAATGCACTAGGCATATGATTAGGCATTTTGGCTCAACTCATTTTCACTAGCTACATGTAGCTAGCCTTCAACGCTAGGCAAAATGTATTCAATCATTAGGATCATTTCCCTCCATCTTTGTTGTTGACGTGGAATTTTATAAAATTAATAGTATTTGAATAAATAGCTAAAATAAAGAGCATGGTTGGAGTAAAAACATAAAACAGTTGATAGGCAAAATAAAATATATACTTTATAGTAATATTCAGATAGGTAAAATGCCTACTAAATATTACTATAAAGTATATATTTTATTTTGCCTATCAATTGTTTTATGTTTCTACTCCAACCATGCTCTTTATTTTAGCTATTTATCTAAATACTATTAATTTTATAGAATGCCATGTCAACAACAAAGATGGAGGGAAATGATCCTAATGATTGAATACATTTTGCCTAGCGTTGAAGGCTAGCTACATGTAGCTAGTGAATATGAGTTGAGCCAAAATGCCTAATCATATGCCTAGTGCATTGGAATTGAAAAAAGTGAATCATACTAGGCATTTTAACTAACAAGTATTATATGCCTAGTGCATTGGAGATGCTCACATTTAAAGAGATGTGTATTATAACATTTATCCGTGTGTTATCATTTATTCAAGTAACAACAATATAATCACTTGAACATCAAGCAAATACAACAGTTGAATATCAACTTTTCCATATCTTGCATTTGAATTTTTTAACTCTTTCATTCCTCACATTTCGAACACGCCAACTCTCATTTCATTCTCTTCTATAAAAAGGAAAGTCACCAACCAGATACGATCCCTAATACCTCAATATCCACATTAAATAAAAAAGAAAGAAAAACACACACATTAATGGCGATCAAGCTTGCATTAATCTTGACATTCATGTCCGTCTCTTCCCTCTCTCAAGCCCTATCAAATGAAACTGTCACCAACATCAACTACTGGTGCAACACCACTCCTCATCCAGAATCTTGCAGGATCTTCATGGGAGGCCAGCACAGTTTTGTACCAAAATCTAAACCAGACTTTAGAACGATGGCAGTGGAAGCAGCCATGGAACGAGCCCTTTACGCGCAGACTCATGCAAAGGAACTGGGTCAACATTGTCATAGCAAGCATGCCAAGGCTGCATGGTTGGACTGCTCAAAACTCTTCGACGACACAGTTCTCCAACTCAACCGGACCTTACAAGGCCTACAAAACAATGTCAGCGATTTCGATGCTCAAACATGGCTCAGCGCTGCCCTAACAAATCTTGAAACTTGTCGAGCAGGGTCTCTTGAGCTGAATGTCTCGGATTTCATATCTTCAATCTTATCGAATAATGTTTCTGAGCTAATCAGCAATAGCTTGGCGATCAATGGGGCTTTTCTTGCCCAACAAGATGCCCAAAGCGGGTACCCGAGTTGGATTTTGGATGGTGAAAGACAGCTGTTGAAATCTTCGTCGTTGGCTTCTCAGGCTAATTTTATTGTTGCTAAAGATGGGTCAGGAAATTTTCGATCTATCCAAGCTGCGATTAACTCTGCAGTATCGAAGAGAACTGGGAATGGAAGGATAATCATATATGTGAAAAAAGGTATTTATAGGGAGAATATTGAGATAAGCAGCAACATGAATGAGATCACTTTAGTTGGAGATGGGTTGAGATATACAGTAATCACAGGCAGCCGGAGTGCTACGACAGGGTTCACAACTTACAGCTCTGCTACTGTTGGTAAGGGACCTCTCTCTCTCTCTCCTTGCTGCTTTGTTTCTCTGAGTTAATTCACATATAAATTAACTATCTACAAGAGAAATGTTCTCTAAACAAAATTGTTATTACTCGAAAATGATTGGCAAGGACATTTTTTAGGCTAAAAGACACATTGATGGTCCTTGATTTTGAAGTTATTGGAGGAAACCAACAAAATTCTGTGTAAAATGCTATAGAAATTTGAGACAATTACCCGATAGTGGTGTGAGATAAAAAATAATGAATAAATAAATAAATTACAAATTAATCAAAAAAAATTATAATTATAATTATTAATTTTTTATAATATTTATTACTTATTTGTAAAAACTTTTTTTTGACTCCCACTCTCATGATGTTATTTGCCCTAGAAATTTTTTAAGGATATGTTAGTATTTTAAGTCCACTTCTTCTCAAATATTTTAAGGGGTCATTCTACTTACACAACACTTTCAACTCATTACATCCTCATTTTTGATATTTTTTTTATTACTATTTTATCCTTTTATAAAATTACCGATTAACCCTCTAATCCTAAAAATTCAAAAACAACTTTCTCACGCCACTCACCATTCCCCACCACTGCTATCTCACCTCCGGAAACCCTCTTCCACCACCGGCCGGCTATCTTCCAACTCCGACAGCCCTTTCCCAATGCCGACAACCCTCTTCCACCCCTCTCCTACCTCCCCATCCCCTCAGAAACCCTTCCCTTACCTCTGAAAACCCTTCTCCTTCCCAGAACCGCCATCCAGGTCAGCCCTTCCTCTCTGTGAATTTTGATTCTTTTTCTTCTCTTCCTCTTCCGCTACTATCCAGATCTGAAACTTCTCTCTTTCGCTTAATTGGTCAAGATGATGAAGGGCATGGGTTGGTCCGCAGGGTGGTTCATGGCAGTGTAGATGGGTTGTGGCGAAGACGAGTCGTCACCAGAGAGAAGGATCATGACGAAGAAAGAGGTTGAAAGGGGAGGCGCGACGGAGGATGAAGAATGTAGAATGGGAGATGTAGCAGCAGAGGTGGGCTAGGAAAGTGGTCACAGTGGGGGAATGGGCTTGCGGTGGTCGGAGATGGCAGTTGTGAGGGGATCTAGATGGTGGTGGCAGTGGTAGAGGGAGTCGCTGGTTGGGGAGGAGCTGTGGGTTGGCTACCGGAGATGGCAGTGGCTGCCGGAGGAGGTGGTTGGGATTGGGTAGAATTAGGGTTTGAAAGTTGGGGGTGTAAATAAGAGGGTATAGTTGGTATTATGAGGATGGTAAGGAGATAAAATCAAAATTTTGAATTTTGATATGTTGTGTGATTAGAAATTTGGTGTAATGAGATGTTTTGTTGTGTAACTAGAATTACCTTTTTTTAAGTTCACTTCCCTCCCCCCCCTCCAAAAAAAAAAACAAAAAAAACAAAAAAACAAAACAAAACAATTTCTCTTAAAAAAAGATTGAGAAAATATTTGGTAATGGACTAAAATAGTTGTGTCCTTAAAACTAATGTACTATGAGTAGTATTAATGGTGGTGGTGGCGGCGGCGGCGACGACGACGACGACGACAACGGTGGGGCTAAGATGAAGGTGGAGGAGTGGTGGCAGCAGCAGTGGTAATGGTGATAGTCATAGTGTCTGTGGGGGTGGAGATGGTAGTGTAGTGACATTAATAAGACTTTAATACAAAAAATGTTGGTCACTTTTTAAAAGTGAAAAATATTTTTTGCTAACTATGAAAAATATTTTTTACCGAGATAGGCTTGTTTTCCGTTGACTATAAACAATATTTTCTAATGACTTTCATTTTTTTGTTTTACTAATTATTAGAAATATGAAAATGTTTTTCGACAAAATATTTTTTCCTAAACATATGGAGTATTAATATTTATTGGATGTAATTTGGACAATGCAAATTTTGAATTGTATTTGTGAAGAAGTGGAGTGAAATAACCATTCCCAAATTTTGGAGTTGGATTTTCTCGGGTCCATAATTTAAACGGAAGGGTATCGTTTGGGCTTGTGGATCCCAGCATGAGTCGTGTTTTAATAATTCGAAAATTTATTTTGTTAAAACCTTCATATATATTATGTACAAAAAAAAAAAGAGAATTGATCTAATAATCTTATCATATTCAATTTATCGCATTTGTGCTAAAAAAATGAGTGAAAAATATGTTTTTAAAAATATCATTCATTTTTTTGATGACAATTGTGATAAATTGAATATGTTACAAATATCAGATCAATCTAATTTTTGTATAGATAATATACACACAGCTTTATAAAATAAAATTTTCGAATCTTCAAAACGGAATCTGTGATATCATTGGCCAGGGCATCACGCTCCACACTGCAGTGAAGTCCAGTCTCCAAATTTTATTTGTGTACTATAAGGAGAGCCTAGTAATTTCAACCGAGCCTTCTTTTTCTGGATTATTTGAGGTTTATGTAATAATTTGACATAGGTAAAATTGGCATTTCTAAAATCAAAAACACTCTACTGCTTATGTGTCAAATTTATTATTATTTTTTATATTTTTACTTTAACTGCGCCAGATTCATGTGTCAAAATTTTTGGACAAACCACTTTATTGTGGGTTCTATCGAATAAGAAATCAAATAATAATAATAATTATTATTATTGTTATTGTCATTATAATGAACATTCACTCTACCATTTATCAAATTTCACTTACGCTGTGTTTGGTTAGGGGATTTGGGGAGGGATTTGGAAAGGAAAATGGAAAAGGTGTGTGAAATTAGGTGAAATATAGGCATGTTTTATTCACATTTCACCTACCTTTTCCCTTTTCCTTTCCAAATCCTTCTTCAAATCATTCTTCAAATCCCTTAACCAAATACAACATTAAGGAATTTATGTCAAATGTCACATACGCATTAGAATGTTTTGTTGGAGTTTGTTAAAGTATTAATTTTTTACCTTTTAAAGTGATAGGTAAATTTGATTTTTTTTTTTTTTTTAATCAACAAAGAATCAATTGAAGAGATCCTAACAATCCTATAGAGTTGGTTAACCTTATATATATATATATATTTGATTGAAGCACAGTTAAAAACAACACAAGTCATGCTGGATAATCAAATTGATTTTCAAGCAATAGTTGCTACTTTAAGTACAATTGTCTAGATGTTTATGGTTCTGCTTTAAACAACTTAATAATTTCAAACAAAGCCACATGGCCATGTTTGTTTGGGCGGACTGGATTAGCATTCCCATGACTAATAGTTCTAGGACTATAAATTTGTTGGATTATGTATCCTATCTTAACTAATAGTCAAGTTTAAAATAATTAATTCCTACTTCAATTGTTTAACCAAACATCGGATTAATAATTTTATTGGACTATTAGTCCAATCCCAAGCTCATGTCTACCCAAACAAACATGACCAATATGTTCTATTAAAGAGGATAATTCTCAAATTGCTTATTGAAAATGATATTTAACTGTCAGTTGAATAAATTTAATTGGCTTAATGTTTTAATTGTCAATTGAATAATTTTAAGCCTTGTTAAATATTTGAATCCCCCCTAGCATACCAAAACTCTACTCTCCACCTAGACACATCAGAAAATCTTCTATTTATTAAAAAAAATACTACCATCCCCTAATACATCAATAAGTTTAAAAGAATGATCAATGACTAATTGTCTATAAACATGACTCTTTTTAGGCATTGATGGTGTTGGATTCATTGCTCGGGGAATTACATTTCGTAACACAGCAGGGCCACAAAATGGTCAAGCAGTCGCTCTTCGATCAGCATCAGATCTCTCAGTTTTCTATGCTTGTGGATTTGAAGGGTACCAAGACACTCTCTTTGTCCTTGCTCAGCGACAATTCTTTAAATCATGCTATATATATGGCACGATTGATTTTATCTTTGGGAATGCAGCAGTAGTTTTCCAAAATTGCATCATCTACGTAAGAAAGCCCTTAGTAGGTCAAGACAACGTGATAACAGCTCAGGGTAGGGGTGATCCATTCCAAAACACCGGCATTTCAATTCAAGACTCACGAGTCATGGCTGCACCTGACCTTAGACCGGTGGTTAGCTCATTCAACACATACTTGGGACGACCATGGCAACAATACTCTCGGACAGTTTTCCTCAAAACCTACCTTGGAAGTTTGGTGAATACAACAGGTTGGTTGGCATGGGATAATTCTAACTTCGCGCAGAATACTGTGTACTATGGAGAGTACATGAATTTTGGGCCAGCTTCTTCCACCAGAAATAGAGTAAATTGGCCGGGTTATCATGTCATAACAAGTACAAATATTGCATCGCAATTCACTGTTACAAACTTAATTGATGGTAGGGGATGGTTGCCAGCCACTGGGGTGCCATTTATTGCTGGTCTATGATTATATATATATATATATATATGTTTTATATGTGTGTACAAAATTTATTTGTCAAATATATTGTTTTGTTCTTTTCATGAGTCTATATAACATTATGTGTTTGGTTTCAGTTTTTTAAAAATTGAATTTTTTGTTTTGTGTATTTTTTTTTTTGTTTTTAATGAATATTTTTAAAATTTTCAGTATTTTTATTTTTATTTTTTTTAGATGTACCTTATTTAGATGTATCTAAAAAGTAAAATATTTGTAAAAAAATATTTTAAAAAATTAATAAATAAACAAAAATATGAAAAATATATTAAATTTTCATATATTTTTTTTATATTTTTGGATTTAGTGAATTTTTTAAAGATTTTTTTCACGAAAATTATACTTTTTAAGTGTGTTTATGTTAGGTGTGTCTAAAATTTTTTAAAAATTGCTTAAAATATTAAAAAATTTCAATAAAAATATGAAAAATAAAAAAAATATAAATTTCTAAAAAGTGTTTTAAAAAAACTAGATTCAATGGAGTATGGTTATGGCAAATTAGCAAGTAAATAAATGGATAAATATGTGGTGATCATTATTGTTTACTTCTTAGGCCTCATTTGGGAACAGGTTTTTTTAGCAAATTTTTAGTTTTTTGGCTAAAATGTGATGTAAAAAGAACTAGTATGTTTGGGATGACTTTTTGACTTTTTACGAAAAGATGTGCAAAACGTAGAGAGAAAAGAGAATCTTTGATTTTTTGGTATGAATTATTGCCTTTTTGATTTTTTTAATAATTTTTTGATTTTTTAACTAAAATAGTCACTTGCTAAACGAGACTTTAGTTTGTAGTCTTTAGAAGCGTATATTGGGCCTAATTAGGAAAGGAAAAACTATCATGTTTATTTTGAAAACGGAAAAAAGTTGAGACCCCTTTTTTTCTTCATCCTTACCAACCCCAATGTATTGAGATTGGTTAACTTTTTTTAATTTTTTAATTTTTTTTATCGCTCACTGACACGTGTCTGTAAGGGTTGTGGGGGTCAAGAAAAAAAATGTTTGAAAAGAACATATCGTATGCACCTTATATAAAAAATTTAAGAGTACATATCATAATTTCGTAATTCATACGGGGCCGACCCTGAGATTTGTGAGGCCTAAGACGAACTATGAAAATGGGGCCCTCTAATATATTTATGTTTAATAAAAATTTTATGATTAAAATGATAAGTATTCACAAATTTTTTATTTAAGTGTACTTGCATATATAATCATTAATATTATAAATTAAAATTTACTTTCATATATTAAGTGAACAATGTTGTATATTGTATGTATGGTTTGGGTTGGGTTGGGACTAAACAAATTATTTGTTGTTGTTTTTTTTTTATATATATTTTCATTTTAATAAATGTGGGCCAAAACCATATAAATATGGACTAAACTAAACATGAACCCAATAAAACATTTTGGGGCCCTTTAAATTGATCTTAAAAAAAAAAAAAAATTGAGCCTATAACAATTTATTAAATTTGGTGTCCTTTTTTTGGGCCAAAATTGTGGGGCGTAAGGCACAAGCCTTATTGGGCTTAGGCCAGGGCCGGCCCTGAATTCATAATTTTTACCAAAAAATAGTAAATTCTATCACCTAAATGTATAACTTTAATGACAATGTGTTCATTACGGATTGGATTGATTCTTCTTTCTCAATGAAGTGATTTGGATTTGGGTGTGGGTCCTTCTCTAGATGTCTGAGGATCCTCTGTTTTTTATAGGTCATTGCTCTGCTTTGGGTTGCTTTGTCTGTGAGTTTTGGTCCTTTTGCTAGTAGCCAAGGCTTGTCAGTTCTTTTGCTAGTGGGTGTTCTGGATATGCCTTGTCTGTGGGTGTTTGCTAGGTGTTTTCCTTTATCTTGACTTGGGTGGTTTGGTGTGTTGGTCTTGCCTTCTTGACTCGGTTTGGCTTTCGATTATGACAATTTTTTGAGATATTCTTTTCAAGTTATCATGTTCTTTTTTTTTTTTTTTATTTTCTTTTTTTTTTTTTTTTGATGCGATTTGTTTGTATTACTTGTACTTTTTTTTTAATCAATATATATCTTAATTTGCCAATAAAAATAAAAAAAGAAAACTTTCTTACAATGTACTCCATTTTAAGAATTCACATAGTAGAATTTCCCGGTTAGAAATAGGGCTGATCATTATAACTTGGCATTGGGCTAACAGTGCAAATAAATTGGGCCACGTAAACTGACAACCCGAGATTGTTATTCGCAATCCAGTTTTTAGAGTAATTCCTCATCCACCTAATACATCACCTCCAAAAAGACTATCACTTAAATGGCAATCCATCTCAACAAAAATTATAAAGTACATCATCTTAGGTTTCATAAAGTACATAAAATCTACACCATCTTCATAAATTATGAAGCAATCCCAAAATTTTAAAATAATTTTATAGTTAACCTTTTTTTTTAGTTAAACTTTAATATAATTTTGAAATATTTAGTTTTCACTTGTAAAACCATGTGAGATTCTCAATCTTGCTATCAGAACTTATAAATCGAATCTAGGAAAATTTTAAACATATAAATTCAATATTTAATGAATGATATAATAGATGTAAAAAAACTTTATACATTGTGATTATGGAATTAGTAAAACTGAAACCACGGGATTATTAAACAATCTAATGGATGTGAGTAAATTTTTTTTAAAAAATATTTACAGAAATCAAAATATAATGCTTTTTGAAATATCTAAAGAGTTAAGAGAAATAAAAGAAATTTTCCTTAAAATCAAAAAGAAAGTTTTATTTAAAAAATTTTGAACTTCTTTTATGGTTATTAAACAAACTACAAAAATTGCAAAAGACGAAAAAGATTAGGATGGTAGTAGTACATCTGAACCAAAAAATACTTTAGAAGGAATATCCTCAGAAGATCTTCAAAAATATTTAAATATATGGATAACTATGAAAGATATAAAGCGCTTAAAAAACCAATAAGCAATTCTACTAATCTAGCGGAATTAAAAGGACAATGCAATTAATCAGAAATGAAAGCAGAAATGCCCAAAATAAATAAAGCATTTGAAAATTTCGTATATAGAAGGAATATCTTTGGAGAAATTATGATTTTGTGAATATCTTTGGAGATAATGAAGAAAAATCTTCTTAGAAGAAAATAAAGTTGGAAAAAAGAGTAGCATTATGACTCATATAAAATATGACTTTATTCCTAAAGTTGTAAAACGAGCCTATTATATGGAATATACCTTGATCTAGGCTGTGTAACTAACATAGAAGATGATAATTGGGCTCAAACTGTACGAATTGTTGTAGTGGGGCAAACTATATAGACTCAAGAGGTCCAAATGCTTTTATGAAAGCTACTCTCGGAGGTCAACTTGAAAAATTTTGGGATACTCTGGTGGTGTTTGGGAAGGAGGTTGAGAGGCTATTTTAGCCTCATTCAAACAAATAGCCAAAAAGCCCAACTGTAGCTGAGGTTTTTTTTTTTTTTTAATCAAAAACTGACGCAGACAGATTTGGTAGAATGTCATGACTGTGCAAGGAAAATATGAAATTACAATTTTGCCCTTTTAATTTTTGACTAACCCACCAACTTAGCATTCCAAAACATAGGGGCAATTTAGTCATTTCATACCCCAACAAATCAATCATCATGTACTTGCACAACTTCATCACGTCGGGCACAGCATTTTAGGAATAATTTAATTATTATTTTTTATCTCAACATTATTTTAAACACATTTTTCAATACAACAATCAAACAAAAAATTCAATTCATCTTTCCAAACATAAAAACTAAAATAGCCTATTAAAATAGTCAAAAAGTCAAAAAGTCTCTAAAATAACCACTTCCCAAACACCCACTCTATCAGATAATGATAATATAAGAGCTCAATGGTTAGCATTAACTACAACAGAAGAGCGTATCATGTTGGTAGATAAACCTTAAACAAGAATTTTGTGGAACAACTCTTAGAGCTTCTCCATCAAACTAGTTAAAATTTTGTTATATTTTAATTTAAAAATTATTTTTTCTAATTTGGCTATACACCTTAGTAAATATGTTGTCCAACTTAATCTCTATTCTTTTTCTATATTATTTAAATATTATTTTTATTCATTTTAATTTATAATTATTTTTTATAAACTCAACACAATTAATTTCAAAATATGAAAAGTAATATTTTTCAATATCTAACTAGGTGAAACCACTAGCTACATTTGTTGAGCCAAAATCACCAAAACTAAAATGACTAACTTGATAGTTAGTTTGATATAAGTGAAATTTAGTGATTTACTCGCTATTTTAGCTAAAAAATGAAAACAATTAGTTTGACAAAGATGTGCCAATTAGGAATTCAAGAAAATATAGCATTCACAAATCTAATTAAGAGACGAATATGTGATATGTGTTATTTAAAAAATTATGCATGTGAATATAAAAAATGGTTCTGTAAACTAGATCTAAAAGATGTTATTCAAAAAATAATTTATAGCCAAACTTTCTAAACCATGGGGTGAACTATCTCAAAAGGAGTTTGAAAGGCTATTAAAAAATAATCAAAAATGTGATTTTTTTGGTGGAAGAATAGCTTCTATATGAGAAGTTATACAAAAATATTATGTGTAGACGTCCCCGAACGCCCTGGGAGGATAAGTCCCGTTCTGTTCATTTGGGGTCACTACAGTTCGGACTCACAAACTGTCACGGTTCTAAGTCTGAACCAAAGAGTCCAAATCCGGCAAATCGTTTTGAGAGAACTAATTTTTGAAAGAAGTGCCAAACATGGACTGCTTTGCCAGATACAGAGTCGCCACCTAAATATTTTATTTTGGGGGAAATTTAGGAAACCCTGACTCGTTTGCCTAAGGCCACGTGTCCGTCATCACCAAAATTGCCTCGGCTCGAGAACTTGGGTACGATTCGGGAAGGTCACTTCGTGAGCACCCCCGCTCGCCCGATCAAAGATCGGCCTCTACTAACCATGATATCTAGT